ATATTAAATTTAGCGCATTACAGAAGCAATGCGCACGTTGCTGTCTTAGCATCAAGCAAGAGATGGGCAACAAGTACACCGCAGGTACATGAAAGGGAGCTTTCAGATGAGATGGTCCCGCCATTATGAAGCAGGACAAACGCGATTATCTTCCAAAAAGAAGAAAGAAAGTAGTACAGCAAATTTCATGGCAGTATAACCTTTACTCTCCCAAAAGGCATAGGTACGAGCTTCGAAATAAAACCCACTTACAAACATATAAATAAACCTACTCAAGCGCCTTTCAGCCATTTCATTTGTAAACATGGCCTTAAAGTAAGCTGAGCAAGCAGCAAGTACGAGCCGATGAGCATTAATTCGGGTTCCCTGAAACATCTCTCATTCCAATACGTCAATATATCCGATATATTGCGTGAAATACCTTGGCCACCAGAACTACATCACAAAGCCGATAGTCATCGCGAAATTTCGCCAGTTCAGCAAACAAGAGGCGATTGTGAAAAGAGCTCTGAACACTGAACTTAGATAGTTGCTCAAAACATCACCCAATGGTGACGACAGATTCCACTTTTTTGACCTTACAGTCAGGTTACAAAGTAAGGTAGTCCCCTAGAAGCAAAGGGGAACATGTCAATAGCTTTGATGATGAACAATGATTGTAAATTTCCCCGGACATAGATAGAGATTGAAACCCATAGGTCATAGATAATGCTACCTCTGAAAACAGGTCCGTCTTCAGAGGGTAAATCGGCAAAACTCAACGATACCTAAGCAAAAGGTTCATGCCGGAAATGAATTTGCAATTGCACAGCATTTTCTGCTCGCTGACACATTGAGAAAAGATGAGGACGGAATCTTGTTTAGTCCACGGTGGCGATGCTTATTTCCTTGACAAAAAGTTCGCCTAGTTCGCCAAGATTTGCAGGCGCGATGCAATGGTACGATGAGGTCTCGAGCTGCGGGACCAAGGGATCGCGATGCTGGTTTCGCGAACTAGGGATTTGATATTCGGCACTACGTTCTAAATCTTGTACAAGATTTCGCATGCCTGCACTTCGGAACATTTTGGATTAAAGCCGCATCATGGCACTATACCTGCGAATCTTGCCCAATGAGGCGGCCCTTACTTGTCTGCCTTTTTTTGACAAATTCGGCGAAACTTCCATAGAGAAGGCATGAAAGGAGCAAAATTGAGGCATATGCGCCTCTTTTTTTTGTAGTGATATTGTGTGAATTCATTGGCCACCTAACCCTGCATAGTGTGTGAGGCCTAGTCCGCGGATATATCGGTAACTATAAATGGATTACTCAACTATCAGCACTGTAGCAGACTAAGCGATCTAGCTGAACGAACGCCTAGTTGCCTTCGCGAACACAGCAACAAACTTGAGTGCGGCATCAATCTGTCTAAACAGTGGGGCAATTGAGAGGTGCGTGGGAGCGTTTCTTCACATTGGTATTTTAACCATTATCGCTGAATCGTTTGCAGCTAAACTATCTGTTCTGGCCCTCTTCACCTTGCAACTCCCATGCAATCAATTCGCAAGAAGGCGCAAGTGCAGCACCCTTACCGAATCGGGGGTCCTACCCAGTCCAACAAAGCTTCCTTACCTTATTGTTAGGCCGATGTGAAGCTTTGCGAACCGGTGGATTTGGCCAGCGAACCCACAGATTCACACAATGGCCTTACTGCCCTCGGAATGCTAAATATAACACTTACCTCAAACTCAAAAAACTTCGTCATTCTCAATGACATTCTTGTCTTCTTCCGCTCCTGATGAAGCGCTCGAATCTCCCGACATTCTTACGCCTTCTTCGTGCTATCCAGCGCTACGGTTGCGAGAGAGACACATTCACTGCACCAAGAAGAGCTCTTTAATTGCACAAGGTAACAAAGAATATTAAGAATGTTCCAGTGAAATCACGAGCCACATCAAAAAACGAAAAAGATTTTGTTGTCAAGCAGTCACAACCATGACTGATTACTACGTCAAAGATAGTGTTCCTTAGAATTAAGGATTCTTCCTTCCCTGTCCGGTACCAAAGTGCGAGGGAAGCGCCAACTCTGAGAAGAGCTTCCAATGCGGTCGGCGCAGTGTGGCTCGAGGGGGCAGGCGGTAGCATGAGTCAGATTCACGGGAACGCACGGTTTTAGAACCAACCTTTGCAGAGAGAAGGGGAATCCAAGTGCGTTCTTATCTCTGCCGAAATTACGTACCCTCTCCCCACAACCCCCCCCCCTCGATGCCATTCGCCAGCCGGACATCCGGCAGGCTCAGGAAACATCAGCTTAGTCATGGAAAGGTCCAGATAAACCATGAACCGCAAAACTCACAAGCCAGACTTGCATATTCGCACGATCGCGCCAATTCCGGTGTAGCTGTGCATTTAAAGGCGCTACATCACATTTGACGCCGCTTTTGATTGCGGTGCATCATCGCTAATCTTCAAATCTCTGCTTGATGTTGGGGAGGCATTTATGTTTTCCTTTTTTTACTAGGTTAAGCGGAATTAGGTGTGATTGGGGGAGGGAGAGGCGGAGGGAGTGAGGTAGCGTAATTGGTCCTTGCAGCCGTGATACTGGTTTTCGCAAGGGAAGTTGAGGATATGTGATCCATTTTTGCCTGCGCAGAAATCGGTCCAGGAGGGTATTAAATTGAGAATGTTTTCATTGTTTTTGCAGTGAGTCTCTAAGCCCAGGTGTCCGCTCTAAATTGTTCTTGAGTCGCGAAATTTTGTGAATTTAGAGCAAAAGTGTAAATATTACAGAAAGATTTGATTTGTAATTGCATAAAGTTGAACGTGACGTATCTACTTCTGCAGCTGTGTATTGCATTTTCATCCAGTTAATATTGTGAGGGAGCGTTCATGGTTCGCGTTCATGGTTTATGCGATTGAACGATCAACGATTAGTCTAAAAGGAAAAGCTTACGTATCGATTGGGCGAGTTGGCGACTAGGCGATCACTCAGCGGGAGGAAATCAACTGATACGTCTGCGGTCCTAATCGCCTACACCCCTGATTGCCTAATCGGTCGTATCCTTTTCTTGTAGACTAATCGCTCAATCGCCTGATCGCACATTTCATCAGCGCAGTTAGAAGCTGTATGGCCGATGTCAGACTTTGCGAATCGCGCGATTCGCTAGCGTCTGCGGTCGCGTCGCGGCCAGTGAATCACTCAATTGGCTGGTACCGCAACGCGACCGCGGACGCTAGCGAATCGCGCGATTCGCAAAGTCTGACATCGGCCTATAGGTTGCTGAAGCTACATGAGAGGAAGGAGACAGGGGTTAGGGGCGGAGGCATTGGCTCGTCTTAGCAACAGCAATCCTATTCG